TTTTTTTTTTTTATAACTAAGCAACTTCTCTGGTCGGAGTAAGATTACAATTTCTTCAGTTTATAATTTTTCAAGAAAAAGTTGCTGGTGTGGACTTTAGTTTTTAGAAAGTATTTCTCAATCTATTTGCATCCTTCCTCAGATACAACCTCAGGCATGAAGTCTCCATACTCTGTCTGCAGGGCCAGACCTCCCAGGTACAGAGCGGTCTCCTCATGGCAGGACAGTCGGTCTTCTAAGAGGTCCCTCCTGAGCTGCAGGTAATACTGGTGACGGGTCTGTTTGTGCCTAATGGAGGAGACCATCCGTATTCAGTTAGACACAAATAGAGGAAATGTTCAGTGTTTCTTTTGTTCTCTCTGTCTGTAACATACGACAGAGTATTAGGGCCAGGCTAGAGAATTTTTTTCAATTACAAGAATAAAGTCAGAACATTATAAGAATAATGTCAGGATCCCAGTTTTTGTGTTTGTCTGTTTGTCTTGTCTTTTGTGTTTCTCCCTTCCACCACCAGGAGGCGCCTGGCTCCGGTTCGCCTCCTCACACACCTGCAAGCTGTTGCCTCATCCCGGAACTGCTCTTAAGCTGCTGGTTGCCACTACTTCAACGCCAGTGTGTTTGGGGTAGTCTAGCCAAGCCTTGTTTATGCTGAGTCTAATCTGAGTTTTGCATTTTGAGTTCTTGTCCTCTAGCCAAGCTGAGATCACATAGAGTTTTACTGAGCGCTTGTTTCTCTCTGAGACTAAACCTTGTTTGTTCTTTGCCTCTCGGCAGGAAGTCTTCCTGCAAACTGGACCTTTTTGGACCGCCTTCTCCCAAGTGGGATCAACTGAGTCTTACACTGAGCGACGGATTCCAAACAGGAGGTTTGGATCCAGCCACCTTTGAGCACACTGAGATCTCTCTGAGTAAGGAAGTCATCTTCCCCACGACCCGTTCAAGTACCACAGGAAAACTGAGTTGCAACCAGTGGCTACATCATTCCACTCCGTCCGAGTTCTGGGTAAACTCTGTTCCGCCCTCCACCGAATCAAACATTCTCTGGAGGACCAACACACAGACTGAAGTCTAAGTGTCTCTACTTCTCTGGAAACATGAGTGGCAACAATCCTCTCCTTTAAGATTGACAACTCCAATTTCCCACTGAGCCTGAACCTAACAGTCTGTCTTCCCTTCGTCTTCCAGTTTCCCGGCCGAGCAGAGTTCGGAGGAACTTTGCACCGAACTCAAAATAACTTTCAATAAAACCCGTTCAAACTTTTACTCTGTGTCTCTCTGTTTGGCTTCACTGCATGTGGGTCTGAGCCTTAGATAAAATCATGACAAATAATATTGAAAAATTACAAGAGTGAAGTCATCATACCACAGCCCGTTTCAGAAAGAAAGCTTCGAATTCAAAGTCATTTGCACAATTGTTTCAAAGTTCTGATACCGATAATAATTTAATGTTTCATTTTCCTTATTATTCTTAATATTAATATGCTTAAAGGAATA